TGAAGATCATTTCTAGTGTCTTTGTATCATGGTTAGTTAAATTAGACCCTTGCATCTGTCTAAATATTTTCCTCAAAGTGTCAGGGATAAAAAAAATTAAATTGTTTTGCAATTATCTAGTTGGTCTAATAAAAAATATCACCTCTACTCCAAGAGTTTTGTCTGCCTTTCTCAAAGTGTAGGATTTACATAGTTCAAATACCTGGCAGCTGTAAAGCCTGTCACCTTAGGATTCCAATTTTGCAAAGAGTTTTTCATGACTTAGTTTCCATTGATTTGCATTGCTCCATACTGGCATAGGAATCTGTGTAGACAGGGGTCTTTGCAGGATCAGGGCTGTAGTTGTGCGCTCACTGGGACAAGGGCATTTATTTCCTTTCTAAACGTCTGGGAAACACCATAGGTGACACATAGAGGGAATACAGGGGGGCATGGGCCCCCCCCGAGACCTGCTGCCACTGAAGCCACTGATGGCTTCTGCAGGCAGTCCCTGCTAGCCACCCCCCCCCACTGCTGACACCGACGTCTGCAGGTGGTCCCCATTCACCGCCGCCAACACTGACATCTGTGGATGGTCCCCACTTGCCGCCATGGTGCCCTCCCAGTCTCGGGAGGCACCAGTCGTTCCTGGTAAACACTGTCACATTTTGATCTCTTGTCATAGCTGCATCTGGCAATGCACTTTAAAAGAGAACTGAGTTCCAAATCTAATCTATCTTAAGTGCTCTTGATGGAGAATGCCTCCTCTCTGACTCAAATTCCCCTAGACGATCACTTGTCCTAAACTTGTTTCACTTCTCCAGGGTCTTAGCTGAAGAAATCCATCCAGCCCTCTAAATCAGCTGTCTGCCTGTGAACCCTCAAATCTTTTGCACCTTAAACTGGCCTACAAGAAGAAACAAGGAGCCAGGATTCATGGCTCCTGGGGCTTTTTGGTTCTCCCACTGATCAGCCTTTTGGCCAACTGGTCTGTTTTACCCATTTCAAAATAAGAACAGTACTTGCTTCACCAGGGTGTCATGAGTTGGGCCCCAATGAGTGCATCTACCTGTGCATATTAATGCAAAGCAGTAACTCTGACACTTATCGCACCGGAGTTTATTGCTCCTGGGCACTGTGTTTACACATGCCCCAGGACCATAGCACGTTGAGACAGGTTGGAGCAAGCCTAGCTGGCAGGGAATCTGCGGGGTCAGCCTGCCATCCCAGGACTGCTCCGCCCTGGCTTAGTGTGCTGCGGTGGGGCTGGCTGGGGCACAAGGGTGCTCCAGTGTGGGTCTAGCCTGCAGGCAGCCCCTGCACTGAAGCATCGTTGTGCCCCAGCCAGCCGTGTCAGCACCTACTTGTGCAGTGTAGCGGAGTAAAAAACTTGAAGCAGGACAGTACTTGTATTTACAAGTATTACCCTGAGGTAGACTAATAGCTCTGCACATGTAGATGCCAAGATATTTACTGCAGAGCTAATTAGGCAGGGCCTTAGTAAACATCTCATGTAGATGCATCCAGTCAGTCTCACAATTAAATCTGTGTACATGAATTTCCAAACCTGGATGGAGCACCAGTGACTTCAAAGGGACTCCACACAGGCACTGAGATCTGTCTGCAAGGATCTAGCTGCAAAACCAGGGCCTTAATATAGCAAATCACGAAATGTTTTCTGTTCCTGAGACAAACTTCAACTGAAATGAGAAATTAGTTGAAATTCTTTTTCAAAAGATTTTGGGATTTCAGCAACCCCCAATATAAATTTTTAAGCTTTTGATAACTGAAAAGTGTTTTTTTCATTTTTCAGTTAAAAAATTTCAGGTTTCCAGTGTCTTAGCAACCCTCTCTTCTATTCACCTAAAAAGGATCCTAGGCCTGGAAAACACTTCTCAGACCATCAAGTCCAATCCTCTGTGTTCATAGGCAACCAATTGTCCAGAAGACCCCATAAGATCACCTGCTCTGACCCTTCCTACATGCCAAAGGCACAAAGCTCCCTATGACTATAAACCCTTCAATATGCCACAGGTAAGTCAGAGGTGGGCACTGTTAATACCTACAGAACATTTTCCATGGAAACTTCTATTTTGATGGAAAAACTATGGATAGATTCCCAGTTGTTAGGGGCTGGAAGGGACCGTACAGATAATTGGGTCCAGCCTCCCTGCACTTGGGCATGCTATTCTGGAGGCAAGAAATATTTTAAACAAATACTTAATTTACTCTAATCAATGAGTATTATATAGCTCTATGTAAAATGCAAAATATTATTGACTGCAGCAAACTTGCCTGATTTGAATAAATGGATATGCTTGATTTTAATAAGGCTCCTCAGAAACTATTATTATCAAAAGTGTAATGTCTGTGAAGCAAGACCTAAGAGCTGGGAGAATGGATTATGGAAGTTAAAGATTTCTTCAGCCTCAGACAGAATGGTTCAATTTTAGTAAACTGCCTGACAAAACATGCTTCACTGGAAATACCAGCCAACACCCAGCTTCTTTTGTCATCTGTCTTATGCAGCTGAAAATTACAAGCAATGCATCACAGGGTGTGTATGCACGTGCATGTGTGCGCATACATATCTATATATAAGACACACTACTTGTTATAACATCTTTGTCTTGAGTCTGTGTTCATTCTCTGCAGCTGCTGTGCTGGAAAGGAAAATGCTGGTTTTGCATTTACAGCCACAGCTTCCAACTTCTCCCAACTGAGTGGAGGAGAGGAGTGGCCAGGACTTTCTTTCCAGAAAAGCAGCTGACACCCTTGCTGAAGTAACCATCCAAACGGACTAGCTGCCCTTCCAAAAATGTGTTATCTTTGTAATGAAAAGAAACACTAACACAACTAATAACTTTTATCTAGGAATGTGCCCCTCCTGGCTTAATTGCTTCTAGTTCTTTAAATGTAAAATTAACAAGTGCAATAGGAAATATTAAAAAAAAAAAAGGAAAGAGATTTGAAAAGCTAAGCAGCTGGATCAACACTTGGTCCTTCCAGTGGACTAGAGCTTGGCACTGTCTTTGCAAATAATTAATTCTTCAAATAACAACAGGCCAGGAACTGTTCAGATTCTGTCCTGGTGCGTTTAGTGTCTAGACTGCAACAGCTTTCCTGGTCCCCGAAAACTTGCACAGCTTTTTAAACGTGCCACGGTCTAGGATACCTTGTACACCATGCCTGTTCATTTTTTAAATGATTATGAAGCCTGCCAGAAATCTTTGCATGTACACATATAACTAGAAGGAAAATGCTTTTTTGTATATAAAAACAGGCAATTCTTCCAATACAAATGTTACCAGATTGTTTTAGTGCAGGGGTTGTCAACCAGGGGTATGCATACCCCTGGGAGTACTTGGGAAGGCCCCAGGGTGTATGCGGCAGTGGCATGGAGAAGCAGGGGCACTTCCGGTTTCGCCACTTGTCCATTGGGGAACTCCCCCTCTCCTCCACCCTTGACTGGCCACTGCGGGTACACCAACCAAAAAAGGTTGAAAGCCCGTTTTATTGAATGGAGGATGCCTGAGAAGCAAACGTGAAACTTAGCTTGTGTGCCACCATCCACATGGAGCTGGTGTGCGAGCAGAGCAATGATGCCTGCTGAATGCTAAGGCCTGCATGAATCTTGCGCTGAGACTTACTATTCTTTTAGTTATAACCCGGAAGGTCATTTTAATCTGACCGTGGTTTTAACAACGCTCCTTCTGCTTCTGCAGCCAGCCAGGGGCTGACCCTGGCGCAACCTTCCCCTCTCATGTGCAAGAGCCATGCTGTAGCTGTGATCATCCACAAAAGATGCAAGAGACAGAGGATTTCTTAGGATGGATGGAGGATGTAGGATGAGACAGGATTTCTTAGGATGAGATGGAGAATTTGGGATGAAACAGAGGATTTTTTAGGATGAGACAGAGGATTCAGGATGAGACTGAAGATTTTTTAGGATGAGATGGAGGATTTTGGATGAAACAGTATTTCTTAGGATGAGATTGAGGATGCAGGATGAGATGGAAGATTTTTTAGGATGAGACGGAGGAGGTAGGATGAGATGGAGGATTCAGGATGAGATTGAAGGTTTAGGATGAGATCAGATATTTCTTAGGATGAGATGGAGGATTTCTTAGGATGAGACAGAGGATGCAGGATGAGACGGAGGCTGTAGGATGAGATGGAGGATTCAGGATGAGATTGAAGATTTAGGATAAAATCAGATATTTCTTAGAATGAGACTGAGGATGGAGGATGAGACGGAGGATTTAGGATGCGATCAAACATTTCTCAGGACGAGAAGGAGGATACTTCAGGCCGAGGTCTCCGGCCCCGCTGCTTTGCTCAGACGAGCTTTCCAGCGCAGGATCCTCCGCCCCGCGCCCCGTCCGTGTGTGCGAGGGGCGGGGCCGGGCGGGGCAGGGCGGCGGAAGCGCGACCCCCAGCAGACTGACACGAGGCTGTTCCCGGGAGTGCGGCCCGCCCCTCTTGGGGCGGGGCCAGCCGCGGCGCATGCGCGGAGCCAGCAGGGACGTCCGGCGGTCTCCGACAGCGCC